GTTGTCCGTGTCCATTGGTTAGACCTATATGCTTGCATGTAAGTCCTTTGGTTGATCTTTCCCCCTTAACCCTGCCCTCCCCTACCTTCCCTCCAAGGCCCGACAGTCCAATCAATGCCTCTCCATCTCTGGATCAGTCCTTGTTCATCAGTTTATGTTGTTCATTATATTCCACAAATGAGTGAGATCATGTGGTATTTATCCTTCTCTGACTGGCTTATTTCTTATGTAAGTTTATCTGAAAAGACATCTCACCAAAAAAGGGGAATTTAAAAAATGTATAATCAAACCTCTCTGAGAAGCCACATGTGATATTTTTAATGTCACCCTCTGTCCTAGTTCTATCTTAAGTTTCTCTATTTTCCTTTGCTTTACTTTTCTTACCTTTTAGAAAACACGTCTTCATGACGTATCATCAGCCATGTCCATGCCTCTTCCTCCCAAGAAAGCTCAATCCACTTGGTCCTCATCCAGCTCACCTCTGTTTGGACATGGTGTGCCTCCAGCCTCATTTCTCTTACTCGGTGTTCTCAGCACAATGAACTTGTGGCGTCTCTGGGTCTGTCATGCATGGCTGTTTTGTTGGCTTGGAATACTGCTCTATTTTTGACCTGTCTACCCGCTCCTGGTGCATTAGGACTGAGCTTACCTTTTACTTGCCTGGAAGCCCTCCCTACCCCACTGGTAGCCTTTTAGGCTGGGTAAGAGGCCTGGTGTGATCCCTCAGCCCCTGTGAAGAACTGTGTATTCCCAGACAAAAACTGTGTCTTATCTATCTCTACTCTTAGTTCCTTGTCTGGTAGGAAATAAGTACATATTGGATGGCTGGATAAGTGTATAAATAAAATAATAAATAAATGACTGAAAGTAATTCTGAGCGATCTTAAATTCTTCTCGGGAAAAATGGTTATAAATAAACAGACATATAATACTTTCCTTCCTTCATTTCATATAATGCTAACTCTGTGCCATTGTTACAGGAAAACTGCATTGAGAAATATAAGTGCTGCTGGAAGCCTGTGTCAGACACTAATGTCCCCAGGTGCTTCTTCCCCAGGAACTGGGGCTATGAAGTCAATGGAAGCCTTAAATATGAAAACACAGGTGAGCACTGTGTTCCCCAACAACTCTTTTTTTATAGTTGTATAATCCAATACTATTGTTATTTATATCCAAAGCACTTCTTTTTATTTATTTTATTTTTTTTATTGAATTTATTGGGGTGACATTGGTTAATAAAATAATATAGGTTTCAGCTGTACAATTATATAATACATCATCTGTATATTGTATGTTCACCATCCCAAGGCAAGTCTCCTTCTGTCACCATTTACCCCTCCTCTTTACCCTTTTCTATCTCCTCCCACCCCCTTTCCCTCTTATAATCACCATACTGTTGTCTATGCCAATGAGGTGTGTTTTTGTTGTTGTTTGTTTGTTTTTTGTCTTTGCTTAATCCCTTCACCTTTTCTACCCAGCCCCCAACCCCCTTCCCCTCTTACAGCTACAACTCTTTGGCCAGATTAGTTAACTGCAAAATAAAGGCTAAACCTCTCTCTCTTCTCTCTCTCTCTCTCTCCTCTTTCTGTCCCCACAACTGCAGGGTTAACTGCTGACTTGAAAAAGGTGCTAACCCCATCTCGGTTTGGAGATGATGTCTCTAATGCCCACTTCACAGCTGAGTATCAGACATGCAGGCGTCTTCGTTTTAAGGTCAGTTTGGTAGTTATCATTGAATATAACTCAGAAGAACGCAGGGCTCAGTTTACTCTCCTTTATGCACTGCATAGAAGTGTGGAAGCAGGTGTACCTCTGTTTCTCTCTGTAGGGACCTCCAGATCTGATGGGCAGGCTCATTTTTATTTGATGGGGGACAAATGATTGGGGGGTTTCTTCTCACAAATCAGGAAACACAGGGTTACGAATGGGAAGCTATTCTCATTGGGGGCTATGTGGGAGTGAGAATATTTTGTAGCTCTAAAGCAGGGGTGGGCAAACTTTTTGACTCGAGGACCACAATGGGTTCTTAAACTGGACCGGAGGGCCGGAACAAAAGCATGGATGGAGTGTTTGTGTGAACTAATATAAATTCAAAGTAAACATCATTACATTCATTTTATTCATTTCAAACGGGCAGGATCCGGCCCGCGGGCCGTAGTTTGCCCACGGCTGCTCTAAAGGGAAGTTTTGTGTTCTGGAGCTGTCCCTTCTGTTTTTCTCCTGACAGATCACTGAAACCAATAACACACGCTATGAAGTCTCCCATGAGCATGTTAAACTGTTTAATATGACTGTTGGTTCCACCAACCGGAGCTATTACATCGAGGTCATAGAGAAACCCTTTGGCATCAAAATAATGAGGATGAGCAACAAAAAAGTCTTGTGAGCTTTTCAACACTCTTTGCATATCTTTGAATATACAGTTCCAATGTCATTCATTCTGACTTCCTGTGGGCAGGTGATCAGCTCAGTATATTTGGGAGAATGTTTGAATCTCAGAAAAAGTCAAAGCTTTCAGTAAAAATCATTAATGCTGTGGATATGTAATGATAACAGACCAGAAAACAAAAACTAAAATGTGATGTGCTGGTTTGCTGAGTCATATATATACTCTTGGATATGATGAAATAGGGAATTTTATTATTTTGGATTACCACTCACACTGGAACTCACCTTCATTGTTTAGCATTCCAAATGATGATTTCCTGGGAAACTTACCATCCAGCACCTAATGAGAGCCTAAACTTAAGTCATAAATTGTGCTAGTGGACATACAAGAATTAACATCAGGAAAAGCTGGATTCAAATCCCAGTACTAGTAGGTCACCAGGCTATGTGATATGAGGCCCAGTACCTCACCTCCTCAGTCTGTTTCCTTGTCCATAGAAAGGGAATCAAACCGTCTGCTGTGGCTACATGTACTGAGGCCATGTTTATAAAGCACCCAGTGGAGCGCGTACATGAAGTAGATGCACAGAAAATGTAAGGTCAGGTCTGCTCATCCCGCAGTCATCCCACTTGAGTTTTTGGTATCAAATCTCCAATGCTGTGCTCCTCTGGAATTAAAGAATCAGAGACACCCTAGAAAGGCCTTCTCCAAAAGCATGAAAGTGGATGGTAAGACCTGAAGCAACTGTTCTCGAAGTGTACAGGGCAGGGAGCAGACCGTTTCCTGGCAGAGAGAGCTGCTTGCTGGTTTGGTGACTCTCGCTCTTCCGCCCTGGCCCAGGTTGGACACGAGCATTGGGCCCCTCCTGTTCGCCAATCAGTACCTGCAGCTGTCCTTCCTGCTGCCCAGCGCCAACGTGTATGGGCTCGGAGAACACGTGCACCAGCAGTACCGCCACAACATGGGCTGGAAGACCTGGCCCATCTTCACCCGGGATGCCACCCCCACCAAGGTGAGGGGCCCTTTCTCCTGATTTCTCACAGTGAGGGATACCTTCTCTGCTTTTCAGAAAGTAACCTACAGAGTTCGCCTATTTACTATTTTGCCTTCTCTGCTTTTCAGAAAGTAACCTACAGAGGGAGGAAAACTGTAAAGTAACCTACAGAGTTCGCCTATTTACTATTTTGCCCAATTTATGTTGGAGAGTATGTACTTGTTCTTGAAGTTTGTAAACTCACAATACTAACATATCAATTTTTCAAAACAGTTCACTTTATAAATACATATAATTTAATGACAATATTATAGCCAGTCTGCCTCCCTCCTTCCTTCTTTTCTTCCTTCCTTCCTTTCCTCCACCTCTCCTTCTTTCTTCTTAGCATTTTAAATTTAGTTTGTATTCTAGCCAAGGGCTGATGCCATAACTCTTCCTGCTATAACTTTAAGTCTGGCCTAATTTTGCATAGGTCTGCTAGTCTTCTCTGCTTTACACTTCATGCCGATTCTCTTCTCCTCTCCTGGAATTTACTGTAATCAGTACAATTGCCCTATATGCCAAGGACTAATTTTGCAACATCACACAAGGAGTTTCTATAACGCTTTCCATATGTTACAGTCTCATATATTCTATTCTTATATCCCTTACAATTATTCACACTGTCTCTTTTTATATTAGTGCTCTCATCAGAGCCCTGTGACAGGTTTAATATGTTTTCATTTTTAAAAATTTTAAACTTTATTACTACCTAAGTATTATATGTTAATTGTAGAGAGATCAGAAAATGCAGTTACGCATAAAGAAGACATTCAAAATTTCTCACAATATTGTCATCTTCTGCTATCGTTTTATTATGTCATTACAAATATTTTCTAATTTTTAATAAATAACTTGATTGAGGTATAATTATAGACCATAAAATTCACTTGGTTTCAGTGTACAATGCAATGGTTTTAGTACATTCACTGAGTTGTGCTGTCATTAACATAATCCAGTTTTAGAACATTTTCATCACTCCAAAAACTTTTACATTTAATTTCTATTTACATCCTGTCTCAGACCATCACTAATCTTTCTGTCTCTAGAGACTTTACTTCTGTGTACATTTTATAAGGGAATCATGGCCTATTGTCTTTTGTGTTTGTTTCTTTTACTTCGCATAACATTTATGAGACTTACTCATGTTGTAGTATGTGTTAGCATTTCACTTCTTATTGCATAGAGTATCCCATTGTATGGAAATATCATAAACACATGTTGATGTTACCATTTTAATACCTTTTAGGTACAATACTAACTACAACATATGTTGACCAAGTACATGTTGTGCATGGCTTTTGATTATATTTTGGGGTGAATAAAAACATTTTACATATGTACTATTATTTCTTTTCATGTTTGTTGACAGGGCATGATTAACTTGTATGGAGCTCACACATTCTTCTTGTGCCTTGAAGACGCCAGTGGCTCCTCTTTTGGGGTCTTTCTGATGAACAGTAATGCTATGGGTAGGAAACATCATTTTACCTTGGCAGGAATATGTTTAGGGATGCCGCTTTTATAAAAATGACTCATATGGTGAGATCACGGTTTAACAGGAGGCATATTGGACCTACTATGCTTCATCAGAAACTGGAAACAGAAAGCAGTTTAACCTGTCTACAAATCCAGTTCATGCTGAAAGCTATTTTTATTGAAAACTGCCTCAGAAGTCTCTTTTTGTGTAATGTTTCCCATAATATTTTATAGATGATAGGATTCACTGATAGACCCATTCCAAAGACACCTGTAGGTTTCAACATGTAAACATACTGTCCATCTGTAGCTGTTTCTCACAGCCCACCCTTTCCCCACTCCAGAATCTTCCTCCTCCAGCTTCTGGATGAGGGTTTATTTTTATTTTTAATTGTAGGTAAAATGATCTAATAAGGTTGTAAACATTTTTCTTTTCTCTGAAATTAGTAGCAAATCCCAGAAATTTGTATTTTTATATGGCCAGATTAAAATAGAATTTATTTTTCATTCTCCTAAAAAAAACCCAATTAATTCCTCATGGGTGTTGTACTCATTTAATATTTGATAAGCTTCAGCAATCATGTAAAGGAACAGGTGTGACTTTCATCTCTTTCAAAATGAGACAGACTGTTTTCGGTAGCTCACATATTTAAATTCTGCAGAAGAATATATTTTCAACCATGAAATTGTAATGGCTCTTATTTTAATACTTGCAGAGGTCACCCTTCAGCCGGCTCCTGCAATCACTTACCGCACCATCGGGGGCATTTTTGACTTTTATGTGTTCCTGGGAGACACTCCAGAACAAGTGGTTCAGGAATACCTGGAGGTATGGTTTTGTAGTTAGATAGTCTTTATTGCTGCTATCTCATACACTCATTGTAAATTAGCCTGGGAAAAATAAAACTTATGGACAAACTATGAATCATATATGTTGGGATTGTGAGTCTTCCATTCATCGTATGTTTATTCTGATGCACATTTATTGAGTGTCTTCTGTGTGCTAAGAGGCACCGTGCAAGGCTTGAGAAATGTAAAAATAAGTCATTTAGTGAGGTTTTAAACAGATGCTGTGCTGTTTTCAAGGAACTCATGGTCCAACCATGATGATCAGTCATCCCGAAGACCTGAGGCTACAAATCAGTGACGTTCATTCATGTAGTAAATAAAAATTTAGTGAAAATAAATTATGTACAAGGAATTGGCTCTGATATTTTAGATCTGAGAACTTAACAGATAATGAAATGGAGACAAAGTTGTCTGTATTGGACATGTTGCTACAGTGTTTATTCTAAATGCTTGGACACTTCTTTATTTTTCTAGCTTGTTGGACGGCCATTCCTGCCTTCCTACTGGAATCTTGGTTTCCAGCTTAGTCGCAGGAATTATAATAACATCGAGGGATTGAAAGAGGTTGTAGACCGAACTCGTAAAGCTAGGATCCCATATGTAAGTTGGAACTTATCTTATCATAAACAAGATTCCATTTTCTATCTTTTATTTTTTGTACCTAATTCAATTTACTAGGAAAAATACAGATAGATAAATTGGTAGATGGATGGATAGATGATAGATAGATAGATAGATAGACACACCTACTGTCATAAATTTGCAAACTAAATTACCTATGCCATCATGGGAAGAGCGCAGCTATGAAGTCAGAAGGATATGATTTTGAATTTTAGCTTTTCCTCTTTTTGGCTCTATGCAATGTTGGGCTAGTTAATTACCACATCTGTGTTTTAGTTACCTTCTTTAAAAAATGAAAACCTAAGACTTACTCTGGTGGGCTGGTTGTGAAGAATGCCTAAAACTGTGCATGTAAAGCATGTAACACAAAGGATGAACTCCATCAAAGTTAGTTGCTATTTCATAAGAGAAAGCAACACCTGGGTGACATGGTTAACAAGTGCTGATTATTATAATGGTGACTCACAGCGAGTTTCGAATAGTGACCTTGGATATTCTTTCTAGATCTAACATACTCATTTTGAAAGCTCTGTGGTTGTAAAGTACTTATGATGACCAATGCCACTAGTAAATAAAAAGATCATTATTAAGTGTATAATATTTGAAAAGTTTCTCCCTGGAGATGTATAACATGTGGTTAATGAGGTTATAAAAACAATTTATTTTGGGCTCAATCTTTGGAACTGTGATACAAACATATATTTGATTAATACCTGAAGGAAGATGTTCTGGGTGGAAATGACTTTGGCCTGATCTCAGAAGCTTTCACTCTCCTCTCAGAGGAGCAACGAGGGCAGGCAATGAGATGAATTTTTCTTGTGAGAAAACCTGGTCATTGTGTGGTTTTGTTGTTAAGGGGAAATGATTATTATGTATTTAATTTTACTTATCCAATATCTGTTATCAACACCCAATTCCAGGAGGAACCAGGCCAAATCTTGCCACATCATTATTTTACAAAACGCTTTCACATTCATGGTTGACCTCACTTATTGGTATTTTGCAAATGAGGAAATGCAGACATTGCAATGTTAATCACTTTCCTGAGGTCACTCCAACTAGCTCAATGACAAGCCCAGGATTCAAAAGTGGTTCTTTTTTTTTTTAAGTTAAGGTTTTGTTTTTTGTTTTAAATATATTTTATTGATTTTTTACAGAGAAGAAGGGAGAGGGATAGAGAGTTAGAAACATCGCTCAGCTATCTCCTGCATGCCCCCTGGCTACATGTGGTATTGGTTTCAATCTCCCCCCAGGCCTCCGAAGGGAAAAGCCTTTTGAGGTCTTGCTGGTTCGGAAACAAATGAGCTTTTCTTTCATGGATCAGATCTTTCCCATCAGGTAACGGTGGAGGACACCTGGGTCCTAAAATGACTGCCCAGTGTTAGAACAGATGGTGCTGCATTGGCTATAGGCCACAAGCCACATTTTCCTTCAGTCCTTAGCCTCTGACACACGACCGACCAACCGCAGGATGAACAATTATTTAGAAGACTTTCAGATGTCTTTGAAGTATGTGGCAATTGGAACAAAAGAGCACTTGGAGTCAAAGGGTCTATCACCAAAGCCCCAATTAACCCCCCACCTACTCCTGCATTTGACTTTGGGAAATGTCACTTAGCCCCTATACATTTCAATCTCCCACTAAAAATTATAACATCGGCTCCTCACAGGTTGGTATGCAAACACAAAAATAATGTGTGTATGAGAGTTTGGTTAATTAAAGCTCTGTCCCTTTGTCATTTATCTTTGTTAATTAGTACCCTAGATGTTTTATAAGACAAGCAGGCTATTTTCTCCGCTTGTGATATGTTTTAACTTGATGTCTAGGGTCCAAGTTAGTACATAGTAATAACATTACTCATGGGCTCATTCAAACAAATATTTAAAGAGCACCTGTTTTATTTCAAGCATCTAAGGCTTAGCTCTTAAATTACAGGGATGAACAAGACACAGTCCTTACCTTCAAGTTCCTCCCAATACCTTATGACAGGCATCTATCAAGGCAAAGAGAGAAAACTACAACCTAAGAGTGTCCGACTCTTTCAAAAAGGGCTTATTTACTCCTAAGAAGTAGCCAAGTCCTGGAAGTTCCAGGATCATTAAGAAATATGGCTTGCCCTAGCTGGTATGGCTCAGTGGATAGAACATTGGCCTTCAGACTGAAGGGTCCAGGTTTGATTCCAGTCAAGGGCGCATGCCTAGGTTGTGGGCTTCATCCCCATAGTGGGCATGCAAGAGGCAGCCAATCAATGATTCTCTCTCATCATTGATGCTTCTATCTCTTGCTCCCTCTCCTTCCTCTCTGAAATCAATAAAAATATATTTTAAAAAAAGAAAAATGGCTTCAGTTTTAATGATGAAGAACCAGAGTTATCAGCATGGTGATATTGCCTCGGTTCTAATTGGCCAGCACTGTCTTTCAGGATGTTCAGTACTCGGACATAGACTACATGGATGGAAAGAAGGACTTCACTATTGATGAAAAGGCTTTCCCTGGTCTCTCAGATTTTGCCAAGAACTTACACGAACATGGACAGAAATATGTAATTATTATGGTATGTTCAAACACTTATTCCATGGCCTACTATTCCATTTCAAGTGCAAAAGACATTTATAAAAATAATATTTATTATCATATTTATTTACTAGAATCCTGGCATCTTACATGATTCTGAATACCAGCCCTATAAGAATGGAAGAAAAAAGAGAGTATGGATCTTGGGGAATAAAGGCTTTGTCACTGGACAGGTAATTTCTCCAAAAAAAAAAAATCAGAGTATATTACAGTTATTTGGGGGAAGTTTGTGCTTTTGGTATGACAATGAGTAGAAGGCAATTTACAGTATTATTACTGTTTTCTTGGCTTTAGAGTTTTATGTTATTATTTTTAAAACAGTAGATATAATAGTAGAATGATTAAAATTCTTAAGAATTTGTTTTTTAGTTGAAATATATTTGACATATAACGTTGTATAAATGTAAGGTGTAGAGCATATTGATTTGATACTTTGATTATTACAATATGATTACCATTGTAGTGATGGCACCTCTATCACATTACATATTTTGATTTCTTTTTTGTGGCAGAATAATTAAGATCTAGTCTCTAGAAAGCTAACCCTGACCCTCTAATAATACAGATAGTTGAAAAACAATATATTATTAGAAGAAAGTTAATTTATTCTTAAAGTTCTTCTGCCTTACAATTTATATCCCCAGACAATAAATTCAATTATGGTAATGGAGCAAGATGCTCATAGGCTAATGTGAAACCTACCTCAGCTAATATATTTTTAATTTACATGAGACTTATAGATAGAGCCCAGCCTTTATCCTAAGGTAGCAATTTCAGGCATTTGAATAAGCTGCTTAGGAACCTATTTTCAGGGCAGCTGAGTTTACAAGAGTATTTTAAATTAAATTTTGTAGTCAAGCTTCTCTTCCAATTATGTGTGGGGTCAGCCCTAGATGATTGGATGATGGAAGATTTATTAAAACTGGTACTTCATCTAAAAGTTCACGTGGCCTCAGTTCTTGTTGCTCCCAGGCAATTAACTTTGCAAAACTAATCGTTTTAGGGTTATCAATGAACCCTTACCTAACTTCTCACTTAATTCCCATCATTGACTTTGTCTACGATACTTCTTTCTATTTACTTTCTTTTTCATTAATTCTAACTTTTCATGAAACAGTAGTTTCCTTCCTTCTCCAAACCAATTCTTTGCTTTTGCTGTTTTGTTTGATGTGAATTTCTAATATATCAGATAGAGCGATATTCATATATAAGTACAAAATCAGAGGCCATGGTCACATAAAAAATTGTTTTTTTTACCAGAAAAGTAGATTATCCAGACTTATGAGTCATTTCAATAGTATTCATATTTGAGATGTATGTAATTAGGAATTTGCATATAACCACAAAAATGTAATTAGATAGTTACCTCCATTGACCAATATATAACAGAAATCATTTGATCTAAGATGTTGGCAGAGGTAATAGTGCTGGAGGTAGTGTGGGTTAATTATAAAGGAATTTGGTTAGAATGAATGTTCCTGGGCTTGCTCTAGGGCAGCCGTGTGCAAACTACGGCCCGCGGGCTGGATCCGGCCCGATCGGCTGTTCTATCCGGCCCGCGGAGCCGAAAGAGTGGAGGGTTCTCTTGCTCTCCCCTCCGCTCCTTCACCAGCAGGAGTGTTAACATGGCAACGTCGGGAAACACAGCTGCAGCTCCTTCTTCTGAGTGGGTGGATTTATATCTGCCCATTCAGTAGAAGGAACAACCTCTCAATCTTGCAGAGGCTCCTTGTAATGCCCGCGGACGCGTCTCCGGACATCACCCTGGGAATGCGTAGACACTTTA